CAATTAACAGCTGTCAATTAAACAGTTCGCATCTAAGTAGTATGTTATCGTATATATTGAAAACCGTAAGCGTGCTACTTTTTGGGGGGGGGGGGGGGGGGGGGTTTAAGAACCTAAATAACGACCTAAAAAAACTTAAAAGACACACCACAGGCAACTGTCCCCTCTGCAAACAACCCGAAACCACAGAACACGCACTCATCCACTGCACCCACTACCAAACACACAGAACCACACTACAAACCACCCTCAATCTAAATAAGGTTCCTATTCTAGATGAAATACTAAACTCTCAAAATAAACTAGAAAACTTCAAGGCCCTAGGCGTATTCCTAATCAAAACAGACCTAATTAAGCGCATCTAAAAACTAATTAATCTACCAATCCAGGTTAAGGAGGGTGTTGGTTGTTCACAGGGTCACTCGACAATCAGAATGTATACGGGTATTTCAATAAATGTATGATATATTTAGTCCTTGGGCAGCCCCAATCTAAAAACAACAATAAAATCCTAATTCTCACCGACTCCCTTAGTGGACTAAAAGCCCTCCAAAACAAAAATACCAAAAAACGACCTAAATTATTAAACCAAATACTTAAAAGCTCCGACGACCTAACAAAAGCAGGCAAACAAATAACCTTCTTGTGGATCCCCGCCCACGTAGGAATTTACGGCAACGAAAGCACCGATAAAGCAGCTGAACTATCTCTCAAAATACCAGTAATAAGCCTAAACCTACCCATCTCAAAATCAAAAATTAAAAGTGTAAACAAACAAAAAATAACCAAAAAATGGCATAATCAATATCAAAACTCAAATAGCCAAATCAAAAAAGTGCTCAGAAAACCACTAGCCAAACCTAAAATCCTACACCCCTCTAAAAAAATTGACAGATTTATTACAAAACTCCAAACATGACAAACGAACCTAAATAACGACCTAAAAAAACTTAAAAGACACACCACAGGCAACTGCCCCCACTGCAAACAACCCGAAACCACAGAACACGCACTCATCCACTGCACCCACTACCAAACACACAGAACCACACTACAAACCACCCTCAATCTAAATAAGGTTCCTATTCTAGATGAAATACTAAACCCTCAAAATAAACTAGAAAACTTCAAGGCCCTAGGCGTATTCCTAATCAAAACAGACCTAATTAAGCGCATCTAAAAACTAATTAATCTACCAATCCAAAATCCAATACACATACAAACACCCACCTCACCCGGCTCCCTTAGTTCCCTCCTCCACCCACCTCGGCATTTATTCCAAATTCTAAAAATTCCAAAACTTCAATATAAGCAACCCCTAAAAGCCCCCTCTTGGGTTGCACACATCACTTTCACCCTTTTCGGAATACAATAAATGGTCCGACCAGGCCCGTGTGCGAAATACGCTACAGTCGGAAAGCGCACGTTAAATCTCATATATCAGTCAGTCAGACCCCAGTGTTTCATATCATTTTTCCACCAAACTAAAAAAGAATAACCCCCAACTGGATATGTCAAGCGAAACTAATTTTCGTTTCGTCTGTCGATTCATATTCTGAAAAATTCAAGGGGAACCACTCCGGCTTATGCAGCACACACATTTGGGAAGGTTGCTTCATTAATAATAATACTTCTTACCATGGTTTCACAGTCGTTCGGAACTTTTTTAAGATCTGACACCAGATTATGCTGTCCGAAAATTTATCTATTTTTTTTTAGTGGAGACAGGCCTATCGGAAATTCGAACTTGAACATTAACGCCAAAACCACATTCCGCCGCAGTGACCAGCTGCTGATGACATAGACTAGGCTAGCTTTACACTAATTCTTATACCAGGCTGGCCCCTCTGGGTAGTAGGTCTGGTTTCTCCTTTGTGCTTGGACCCCCTTTCCGATCTTAAGGGTTGAGTATCCCTTGCCAATGAAACACGTGTTTACCATCCTTTTACCTTAGAGCACCCATTTACGACACATGGGGTTAGTTTTGAGTTCGGTTATGGTTTAGAAGTCTCTTGATATAAACATATTTATTTCCAAAAGTGGAGGGATTGGCAAACAAGCAAATTTTGCTTATCTGAATGCCTCTCCCAAACATGATACATAAGTCTCTTTTAACGAATTAATCCAATGTAATTTTCGCAGTATACTCATCCTTATATAATTTCAGCTTCATGACAGTGTGAACATTGAGTGCCCCCTACACAAGTATGCAGTCACTGACAACTTATGGAGTGACCTGTACAAAATGGAAGATGCAGACGACTAGTACAAGCACGCACGCACACACACACACACGCACGCACGCACATCGCTACGTAAGTGCAATTATCTTGGACGCGACATTCAACCCAATTTCAACTCACCTCACTTATCTTACTTTGTTCATGTGTCTAAAGCTTGTGGAATGTGTTAATTGCTGAAATGAAAAGCATTTTAATGTTTTTTTCATATCTTTTCAGAATATGTGCACATAGCTTTCAATGACCAGACGAAAAAAAGAATTCATTTCAAGTATGTTGAGAAGAAAACGTAAGTAAAGCACACTATTTACATTCACAATACATTTTATTCCGCAGACTCTATTGTAAAGTTAAACTCTAGCTGCGTATAGGCTGCCATTATCCATTATATTAGACAATATGGATCCACTCATTTATACATCTATTTTCTTTTGTGACAGGACCCATCTCTGAAAAAATCACCTCACCCGAGAAAATACGACTCATTCATGAGAATGAAAAGTGCAAAGTCTCCCAAGGAATTGTCTTGTAATATAGCATGTGAATAAATAATTTTTTGAAATATCTCACGAAATTAGTTTTATTTTATTGCTTGTAATCATGTGAACTAAAAATGTTTGTTTTGAGGAAAAAGGTCATTTGAAGCAACTCCAGGTTAAACTAACCAATGATTGAATCTTATTTCTCCTGAATTAAAATAATTCTGCTAAATATTACTGCAGAAAAAAATTCTGCCAGAAATTTCTGTAGAAAAAAAAAAATTCTGCCAGAAATTTCTGTAGAAAAAAAAAATACTGCCAGAAATTTCTGCAGTAATGCATTTTCTGAGCCAATTTTTGAGCTTATGAACATGTGAACACACTGGGACACACATTATTTGGATTCGTCTCCTCTAGAGCTTTCCAGTGATATAAAACATGTTTTTGTAGCTCGCTTCCTTCTGTGTGGTCAAGTTCGGACTCCTGGCCATTCCTAAGTTGTCCCGCCCTGCCCTCATTGCATCACTTTTTAAATTCAGCAATATTAGTAGTAGTAGTAGTGGGTCGCGTTCCTTTTCATTGCTGAGATCAAGATCCAGAAACATAGCATTGAAAAAGCAAAGAAAAAGTTTGGAAAATAAGCAGTAAAGTTTGAAAATGTTCCCATTACTTGAACAGTTGCAACTTATTGACAGCATGAAAGCACAGCTTGATGTGAGTGTAGCCCCGACTAAATTTCAAACAAATGGGTTAGTATTTGAAATTCACAAATTTGCCCCCGGAAACCGTCAAATGTTTGCTGCGTGGGTTGGACAGATTTTTAATGTTCCCCTTCAGCAGCTTAATTTTAATGCCTTAATGAATAAGTTTCACCGAATACAGCAAGAAGATAATAAGAAAAAAAGGACAAGTTAAGGAAAAATATAGAGCTGAGCATTTCATTGTGCCAGTACAAACTCCTGAGCGAACGAGGTCAGATTATGACATTGCAAGGCCTTGGACTTGAAGTTAATAGCCTGAAGGATGAAGTAAGCAAGTGATATCTCTAGAAAGGGAAAATTACAATTTAAAAAGAAAATTAAAAAGAGCCACTGATGAATTTGCTGTAAAGAGACAGAAATTGGAAACCCTTAAGCCAAATATGAGAGGAAAATATTTCAGCCTTAACAGGAGAGAAAGAGTGCCCATGCTCAAACTAAAACCAGCCTGGCCAAAAATGCTTCATAAGTCAAGAAAATTGGGAAGGAATTTGAAACAAGAGCTGAAATCTTCAAAGGAATATATCGAAATGGCAACTGAAGCTTTGGAAGATTCTATTTGCGCATTGGAAGAGGCAGCACAAAAGGAGAAAAGCATGAAAAATGACTTGGAGTACTGTGAAGAAAGTTTAATACAGACTCCTTATGTTTCTTTTCATATTTTTTTGTTGTAGGTAAGACATTTCAAGCCCATACTGACAGGCACAGTTGATGCTGTACTAGAAACGGTGCCTGGAAGCTCAGATGTGACATAAGTTATTAACTTACCCCCAAAATGGACATTTTCGCCACATTTCAGAGTCATTTTTCTATTCCCAAAATTCAGTTTACCCGGTAGATGAATATGCACCAAAATTGGCCCTGGATTACTGCTGTTATGCCACTAAAATATTATGGTTTAATTCAAATAAACATTTTCTTAAAATGTTACCCATTTTCATTTTTTAGACCAAAATGAAATTTCTGGCTCTCCACGATGATGTCAAAAAGAGCTTTTCCGAAAGTTAATCAGACAAGTGGGAGAAATACCATCCTATGATATGTATTTCTGAAGGATTTCTGAAGCTAAATCAGTGATTTGTAAACACAATATGCAAAATTCTAAATTTGACTGAGCATTGCTACCTGAAGACAGGAATGGTCGTAGATGTTCCGGTCATCACTTGTATGCGGTGCGGATTCATCGGACCTTGACAAGGGTTTATTATGGTTCACATCTGCAGGTATGCCCACCGGCCATGCCGTCTGATAAAGATGCGATACGGAGTAATGCAGGATAAGTTAAAAAATTTAGTAAAATCTAAATATTTTTTACATTTGTATACTTATCCTGCATTACGAAGTCTAAGTGCCCTCCCTTTCGCTACGCTACCTCCCCACGAAGTTTCAGATGTTATGTTTAAAGCAGTTATGTGTTTTGGTGTGACGTCATGACTTCCGGGTCACATGCCGACTGTGAGAGGGCGCTGCCTCCTGAGCTGGTTGGGACAACTTTCTTCAGCAGCTGGATCTCACACAGTTCGTCTCTCTGTCAAAGACAGCAGTAAATGCAATACGGAGTAATGCAGGATAAGTATACAAATGTAAAAAATATTTAGATTTTACTCATTATTAGAATTCAAGTTCGCGCCAGCCTATGGGCAAAAGTTCTAATGCAGTCTTTCCCCTAGAGTTTTCTGCACTTTTCATCACCTGATGACATTCTATAGAAAGAAATACTTATCCAAATGTTTCATAAGGATGTCATTTCATTCTGCTTTGCTTATTCCTCTAGGTGCAGTGCCTGGACAGAATGTCCGAACCACAAGATAAAGTTGACGTAGGTAGCTTGAAAGACACATTCCTGGAGTGTCCAGTGTGTGTGGAACATTTCAACCAGACAGACCGACGTCCTCGTCTCCTACACTCCTGCCTCCATGCCTTCTGTACACAGTGTCTACAGCAGCTTCTAAAAAAGGAGGGAAGAGGCAAAATCACATGTCCTCTTTGTCGTAAGGTTGCAAAAGTTACCGGAAATGCTGATACACTAGAAGTGGATAGTCTCAGAGACAAACTGGTGGAGTTCCTGCAAATCAAGCAAGATAAGAAGGTCCTCTGCAGTGAGTGTCTAGAGAAGACAGCGGCAGTGTCACGATGTGAAGAGTGTCAGAGCTATCTGTGTAAGGAATGTGACTTTGTTCACAGACGTCACCGGGTTAGCAGAGACCACTCGATACTTTCTTTAAATGATGTTCTGAATCAACCAATACAAAGTTTTGGAAAAGGTCATTTTTGCCCCAACCATCCCAAACATCATCTCGAGTTCTACTGTGCAACAGAGGAGAAACTATGTTGTGTTTCCTGTACAGTGTTAGACCACAGGGATCATGAGCTACAAAAACTAGAGGAAGCTGCCGCAACAAGGAAAGAAGAATTAGACACAAAGATTAAGCAGGTTCATGCTCATGCAAATCGTCTGAGAGAGGAAAGGAAAGATGGAACTCAAGAGCTAAAGTTTATTGAAGAAGCTAAGGCAAGATCTATTTTGGATATCAACAGAATATTTGATGACCTGCAACAGAGGTTGGACAATCGTAAACGTAAACTGATTGAAAATGTCCAGCGAAACAGTAGCAGTCTGTCTTCGGTTATCAACAAGACGATGGCATCTCATGAACAAACTCTGGCTATGATTGAGTCTACAGACACATATTTTGCACAAGCTAAGCAGAAAGCTGATGCTGTGGAGATGTTGGAAATATATCCATCAATCAAGAGAAGCATTGATAGTTTATCAGTACCACGTCAGAGTTCCAGAACAAGCAATGAAGATCCATACAACCTACAGTTCAAGCCAACGAAGTCTGAAGATATACACTGTTTGATAGGAGAATTTGGAACATTTACTAAACTGCCCAAAAGTAAGTTTGTTCTATTGGAATTTCTTATTGATTTCTGTCGACTCCAATTCAGTGACAAAACAACACACAGACCCCACGTATCTGCTTGTGTGGTCCCAAATGCAAAAACAGATCCTAGCACTACAGTTATTGTAATGTTCGGCTATAATCACCATCCGTTTGAAAGCTACAGTTGATCCTACAACTCTCATATGCACAGCTGATCAGTGCGTACATAACGATCGCCCATCTGAGGACTGAGGCCTTCAATAGGTTACCTTTAGAGTCACGATTTGGAAAATACTTCATTTCATTGTGTTGTGTAAACAAAACAATAATCATGATAATGACAGTCATCGTTAACCAATATTGCATGACGATAAACATTTCCTTTGAAACATAAAATTAATTATATCCTATTTTCCTTAATGTAACTGTAAGGCTGTTGCTATTTTCACAATACTGAAATCTAACACTTATATTTTGAAGCGTGTTTAAATGAAACTAATATAATTTACGAATCCTACCTCTATTAAACCATTGGCATAAATCCTGTATTTTGGATGCAATCACACTAAACTAAACTTTCAGATTCTCAACATAAGTCTATGTCAACTATACACTAATTAGTTCTGTCCGTAATAGCACCAATAGCCTACAGCTCCATCGTGTGTAAAGGCGGGAATATTGTAGTCACACTATTCTAGTCTGTTTCAGTAAATAGTTACTTACTTTTACTAAAACTAATAGTAGTCTTGTTGGCTGTTTATGATACGTGAGTCTTCAGTGGGTGTCGTGTTACTCTTCAATGATGGCGTCATCTCCCTCTCCGTCGGCGTGTCATAAGTGTGGCCGCTTTATAGTTTCCGGCGACCCTCATGTACCCTGTAGGCAATGTAAATATGTTACCTGCACTGAGGAAAGTCGTTGCGCTTTTCTAAGCTCATTGAGTCTTTCACCAAGGCCAAGGGGGAAGAAGCTGCCAAGCAAAAACATAGGTGATATCATGTCTCATCCTGACATGTTACTTAAGCCACTGCCTGATCATCTGACCGCCCCTAAGACGTCTGTCTCCCGTCATCCACGTCGGTCTGTTGCAGCAATTGTTTGCTCATATAACTTCAGGTTATAAGGAATAAAAAATTGATTATCATTTCATATTAAACATGGAGCAAGGTATGAAGATTATGGAGATTTCTTCTAAGATTCACATTGCTTAACATCTTTTAATTTTTAAGGATGTTACAACAGGCCAAATTTAAATCTTGAGTTTGTATTATTAAATTTGTAATATTTTGAAATTGTGACGAATACTTGATAACGTGATATTCAGATGTAAGTAAATTGTTTTTTCAATACATCTTTGTATAGTGTGTCGTCTGTATAGTCCAGCGAGAGCCATCTGGTTACAATTAATCACATGCTTTCAATCGCCGACTTGCCTGACCCGGGCAGTGGAATGCCCAACTGCAAAGTTCAAAGCTTTCTCACTTTTGAGCAAAGTGTTTACTTTGTTCCATATTGTAAACATTATATATGCTGTTTTAAGCATTCTGATTTCCGAATTGTGGTGTTATCTTTGGTAAAAAAACCATGTGAAGTATTAATGAAGCTTCATTGGTCTCATTGTTTCTGAGGAGAACAAGATTATGACAGGTACCGGTCAAACAGGCATTAGCTTACATAACGTTTAGTCAGGTGAGGCAAAAGTAATAAATTTGTTTCACTCATGCCAAACATTTATTTCCTTATAATTCTGTAAGTTGCCTATGTTGCACAACATGGATTGTAACTATTTATTTGATACACAAGAGGATTCATGTAGTAACAGACAATAATGTCTATAAGACAAAACCACTGAAAAGTGACAGTTCAGTTTTGAGATGGCTAAGAGTACACATTCTTTCTTTTGTTGATTTTAGAAAGCATTAATTTAACAACTCATTTTCTCAATCAGGAATCTTCACAGAAGATCAAGCACCAACGCATCTGGACAGCCAAACGCCGTTGCAAGAGGTAAGGATATTTTAAACATGTTAAATTTATGTTTTTACATATTTTGTCTTCAATGAAAAGACTAAATTTAGTTACAATATCACACCTTTGGCTATTGTCGAGAAATATTGCTGTGAATCCTCTTTCAAGGCCAAGAAAATATATTCTCCCCGTAAATGCATGTCCATATGTAACTGGACTGAAGGAAAGGCTGAATTAGTATTGAAAATCATGAGTTTATTTACATACTTAGGGAACACATTAATGAATTGAACAGATATTTGCAGATATAAACTGGCTTGAAAGAATATTTTGGGAACAAACAAGTGAAGAATCCTCACTTGCAAATACAAAACGCCATTGCAAGGGAATAGCCAGTCTTAATTGGCTCATCATAGATTAATGCAATTGAGATTATTATGAAATTTGGGGAATTAAGTCTACCAGCAGAAACTTCGACCCAGTTCAAGTGAATATAAAACGTCAATGCAATGGAATAACCAGTCTTGATTTGATGATTCATTGAAAGATGCTACTGAGCTTTTGATGAAAAAATTGGGGACTTTAGTCCACCAGCAGAAATATCGACCCTGACAAGACAAATGTGGGTTCATCTTGTTATAATTAATTTGGATATCGGTTTGAGAATGTTTTGGACAAGGCCCCAGGATCTTTCCACTAACTCGACACTTTCGTTTAAACAATGCTCGATGGACCATGTATTCATGTCAAAGATACGTGGTCAACCGGATTTGGGAAGGTCACGTGTTGTCCCATGTGTCTGATAATGGTTCCACAGTCTTGTAATGGTGCTTGGTGATACGTGGAAAAACTTGGTTAAAGCTGAAGATGATTCTCATGTTTGTAGTAGACCGATGGCGTTGTTGTATTGGACTTCGGTCATTCGTGGCATGTTTTCGCTTTTGGCTCGTTGTAAGATTGTGATGGCATGCAAATGAAAACCCAACATTATAGCCCAACAGGTGACGTTGCAAGTGCTTGTCATCTTGGTGTGTTTCGGTGCCAGACTCTCACATTGTTCTTTTTTTGCGATTTTTCTATCTTTTCTGCAGTACCTCATTCTTTCCACACAAATCCATGAAATAACCAATTCGTTTATGGTATTACATTTGTATGGATTTTGGCAACACTCTATTAGATAATTACGATTTTACTACTTTTGAGGGGTTGGTTTTGCAGAGTATATATAACATGGCCTTTTTAAAGGAATATATTGTATATTTTTTATTTTTGAAAAGTCACATAACATGTTCGCATGGAAATTCAATGACGTGCAACAAAACTGCAACTTCACATGTCGTGTTAAGTTTTGTAACCCACTGTTTTCCCACTGAGCCACCAGGGTAGGTGACGAAAGATTGTTCTATTTTACATGTGTAGACTGCAGATGTGTGCATGCTGCACATGGTCTTTCTCGCAGACACTTTTATCATATTCCTTTCATACTGCCACCTACTGTATTGTTTAACTATAAGGTATGCTGATGTTTTCTTTTAATTTTCTGGTATTTCTTACATTAAGACAGTTCATAAGTTGAATAAAATACTCCTCGGTTTTGGTTGAAAATGTTAAACCTCGAGCTCGGGAAAAGCCCTCGCTCATTTTCAACCTAAACCATGTTGTTTATGCTAAACATAACACTACATGCTGGGGTATCCTCCGAAAACAACTACATGTCTTAAAGAACAAAGTTAATGGTCCAGTGGACAGATAACCCCCTGCTTGTTCCCTTTATCCCCGAATGTAGGAGACTTACAACATACAAATACAAAAACACTGAATAATAGAGTGGTGTTTTCAGGAGTCAGCATATTTGTCTTTAAACATATAAAAAAACATACATGTGTTATGTAACACGTTTAAATGATCATGGAACTTAAAATAGTTGCAATGTGAGTAGTAAGTCATGCAAGTTGTTGTTGTTGTTGCTTTAAGTGTGGTCCTTAGCCTGCTGAATACTTTTCAAAATTCTTAGCCTGGCCTGCTGGATGTATTTTAGCATATGCATTGAAAAGAGAGTGGATGATTTCAAACAGGAGAGGCATTATACAATGGGCCGATTTAACCAAAAGCTCTTGACATTTTCAAGCCCAAAACGAAAACAGAAAAGTTGTACATTTTCTTGAACTTACATGAAATACATGATTGAACGTGAAGCAAGCTCAGCTGGTCAGTGGCAAATACAAGCATGTTATCGTCTTCTCCGTGAGTGAAAAACAGAAATCCCTCACTATCATGTGCAGTTGTCCAGGGCACATCGATATGAACTTCGGATTTTGTAGTAGACAACCTAGGGATAGTGTGGCATCTGTGACGACAGAGGGCGCTGTCTACTTAAGGGAGGGGAAAACTTGATGGCAGTTGTATTTCCCTGTGAGTGGTTGTTGGACTACAAGTTCTCATCAGGTGCCAACATTTTAAATCTTCACACCCCATGCCCTTATGATGCATTTCATATGACTGCAGGTCTGGCTGCCACCATTTGAAATCTTTCCACTCCATTTCCTTATGATGCATCTCCAGTGAGTGCAGGTCTGGCTGCCAACATTTGAAATCTTCCCACTCTATGTCATTATGATGCATCTCCAGTGAGTGCAGCTCTGGCTGCCAACATTTGAAACCTTTCCACTCCATATCCTTATGATGCATCTCCAGTGAGTGCAGGCCTGGCTACTAACATTTGAAATCTTCCCCACTCCATATCCTTATGATGCATCTCCAGTGAGTGCAGGTCTGGTTCCCAACATTTGAAATCTTCCCACTCCATATACTTATGATGCATCTCCAGTGAGTGCAGGTCTGGCTGCCAACATTTGAAATCTTCCCACTCCATATCCTTATGATGCATCTCCAGTGAGTGCAGGTCTGGCTGCCAACATTTGAAATCTTCCCACTCCATTTCCTTATGATGCATCTCCAGTGAGTGCAGGTCTGGCTTCCAACATTTGAAATCTTCCCACTCCATATCCTTATGATGCATCTCCAGTGAGTGCATGTCTAGCTGCCAACATTTGAAATCTTCCAACTCTATGTCATTATGATGCATCTCTAGTGAGTGCATATCTAGCTGCCAACATTTGAAATCTTCCAACTCTATGTCATTATGATGCATCTCTAGTGAGTGCAGGTCTGGCTGCCAACATTTGAAACCTTTCCACTCCATATCCTTATGATGCATCTCCAGTGAGTGCAGGCCTGGCTACTAACATTTGAAATCTTCCCACTCCATATCCTTATGATGCATCTCCAGTGAGTGCAGGTCTGGCTGCCAACATTTGAAATCTTCCCGCTCTATGTCATTATGATGCATCTCCAGTGAGTGCAGGTCTGGCTGCCAACATTTGAAATCTTCCCACTCCATGCCCTTATGATGCATCTCCAGTGAGTGCAGGTCTGGCTGCCAACATTTGAAATCTTCCCACTCTATGTCATTATGATGCATCTCCAGTGAGTGCAGGTCTGGCTGCCAACATTTGAAACCTTTCCACTCGATATCCTTATGATGCATCTCCAGTGAGTGCAGGCCTGGCTACTAACATTTGAAATCTTCCCACTCCATATCCTTATGATGCATCTCCAGTGAGTGCAGGCCTGGCTACTAACATTTGAAATCTTCCCCACTCCATATCCTTATGATGCATCTCCAGTGAGTGCAGGTCTGGTTGCCAACATTTGAAATCTTCCCACTCCATATACTTATGATGCATCTCCAGTGAGTGCAGGTCTGGCTGCCAACATTTGAAATCTTCCCACTCCATATCCTTATGATGCATCTCCAGTGAGTGCAGGTCTGGCTGCCAACATTTGAAATCTTCCCACTCCATTTCCTTATGATGCATCTCCAGTGAGTGCAGGTCTGGCTTCCAACATTTGAAATCTTCCCACTCCATATCCTTATGATGCATCTCCAGTGAGTGCATGTCTAGCTGCCAACATTTGAAATCTTCCAACTCTATGTCAATATGATGCATCTCTAGTGAGTGCATGTATAGCTGCCAACATTTGAAATCTTCCAACTCTATGTCATTATGATGCATCTCTAGTGAGTGCAGGTCTGGCTGCCAACATTTGAAACCTTTCCACTCCATATCCTTATGATGCATCTCCAGTGAGTGCAGGCCTGGCTACTAACATTTGAAATCTTCCCACTCCATATCCTTATGATGCATCTCCAGTGAGTGCAGGTCTGGCTGCCAACATTTGAAATCTTCCCGCTCTATGTCATTATGATGCATCTCCAGTGAGTGCAGGTCTGGCTGCCAACATTTGAAATCTTCCCACTCCATGCCCTTATGATGCATCTCCAGTGAGTGCAGGTCTGGCTGCCAACATTTGAAATCTTCCCACTCTATGTCATTATGATGCATCTCCAGTGAGTGCAGGTCTGGCTGCCAACATTTGAAACCTTTCCACTCGATATCCTTATGATGCATCTCCAGTGAGTGCAGGCCTGGCTACTAACATTTGAAATCTTCCCACTCCATATCCTTATGATGCATCTCCAGGGAGTGCAGGTCTGGCTGCCAACATTTGAAATCTTCCCACTCCATATCCTTATGATGCATCTCCAGTGAGTGCAGGTCTGGCTGCCAACATTTGAAACCTTTCCACTCCATATCCTTATGATGCATCTCCAGTGAATGCAGGTCTGGCTTCCAACATTTGAAATCTTCCCACTCCATATCCTTATGATGCATCTCCAATGAGTGCAGGTCTGGCTTCCAACATTTGAAATCTTCCCACTCCATATCCTTATGATGCATCTCCAGTGAGTGCAGGTCTGGCTGCCAACATTTGAAACCTTTCCACTCCATATCCTTATGATGCATCTCCAGTGAGTGCAGGCCTGGCTACTAACATTTGAAATCTTCCCCACTCCATATCCTTATGATGCATCTCCAGTGAGTGCAGGTCTGGTTGCCAACATTTGAAATCTTCCCACTCCATATACTTATGATGCATCTCCAGTGAGTGCAGGTCTGGCTGCCAACATTTGAAAT